TCTCTATATTGATATTCTTGAGCACAGAATCGTTGCAATTGTTATCCCATTTGAATGAACCGTTTTTGACGACAATAGGAGTCCTTTGATTGGGTTTGTGGTCAACGAAACTCTCATTCACTTCATTGGCGTTTAAATAGGCATTCATTTTGTTAAAAATTATTAACACCTAATTATAAAACAAAATAATATTTTAGATTTATTAATTTAATTATTATATACTCTAACCTTTTGCCCGGTTGCCAAACAACGAGCTATAATTGGGAATTGTCCACCTAGATGAAACAAATATAATTATAAGTTTATTTATTATTAATAATTAAAGTCACGATAAAATCAAACCCATTATTGTGAACAACGATAGGGAAACAAACGCCTTATTCGGGTCCAGAATATTGTGGTCAGAGATTAGCGTAAATGTTGTAAAACTAAGTATTGATACCTAAAAATATCCCAAAGTTTAATAAAAATTTAAAACTTTAATTAAAAAATTGCAAACAAAATCTAAAACATACCACAATTCCGCACGAATTATGCATAAAGGCGTTCCATGTAGTTAATTTAATTATCCTGGTCAATACTCCCAATTCTCTATCCCTAAGGGCCAACACTTTATCAATGAAACACTGTTCCCACGCGTATAACTTCAACACTTTTATGTGGTTTAATATCTCGGTAATAGCGGACACCCGACTGGCCGTATGTTTGCCGAGTTCAGCCCAGAGGCGACCCTGAATTGCATTCATGTACGTATTGATGGGCACAATGACTAATATAAATATAACACCGGGAAGACTGGCCGCACCCAACTGTGCCCACAATAACCAGATCGAGACCAACAATTTCAATGGACTGATCCATAGGTTGTCATAGTATGGCACGAAAAACATGATATAATGCATGTCTGTGGACAGCATTTTCAACAGTTCCCCAGAGGTGTTGTCTTTGCGGCCACTGCTCGACAGCTTTATGGACTGATAGGGGAATGGGATATAAAAGTGAGAAAATGCAAATATCAATAGATTTAATGATTAAAATCACACACTTTTTCATATAGTATGGCTGTAATCGATGTCCGGATTCGCAGTCCAATCACATTAGACCAATAGTTGTGCTGTGCATTCAATACTGAGGCCAGCACTGGACAGACAAATAATAACAGTGCATATGTATAACCAATCCAATCGGGTTCGGCTAAGGTCTGGCCACTGGCAGTCAAAAACGTGATCAATCGGTCGAGTATTACAGGTTGTGATAGAGTTAGTAGAGTTGATACCAGTTTTGTCACTGAATTCAATGCTAGACTCGGGCCGTGTGTCAGCAAAATTGTGGGCAATATATTGACCGGTGCTTTGGTCTTGTTTTCATTTAATTGATGCCGGTGTTTATTGAATTGTTGGACACAACTCTTTGCTTCATTGTCGACCTCCAGTGGCCACATGTCTTCGTCCGTCAATGGTTTCCGATAGCCATTCATAATTATTGGTGTAAACCATGAAAATGTCAGCCGAGAAATAAATGAGGCGCCAGTTTTGGGGCATTTCTAACAATTAAAAAGATATTAATTAAAATTTAGTTTAAAATAATTTCATAATAAATTGTATTTTGTTATCACTTTTTTGTTGTCAACTGTTGTGAAGACTTGTTGTGTTGAGTCCGCAAAATAGGAAATCAATAACTGAACGATAATTATTGACAGCGAAAGTGATTTTGTGGTAAATCTGAAGAAGTGAATTGACTCGAGTGTTGGCCATTGTTTTGGCAAAGAGATCGTAAAAGCGGATCCGATCGACAAAAACAGCCAAAATCTGAACAAAACTTGTGAATTGAGGACACATTTCGGTGAAGTTGCTGACAAAATAATTACATAAATCTGTAAACAAAATAAACATTTAATAATTTAATAAATAAAGTTAACTATTTATTAATTACTCAATTATTGAGTCAATACTTACAAAACATAAGCACTTGACAATCGGGGTAAACAGTTTGGCAACATTAGCAACATTACTGTTATATTCATTACTTGTGTTCTCGAGTGTAGCCAAAAGTTGATCCAAACTTAACGCTAATAATACAGTCGTTAGCGTCTATTAAAATACACATTAATTAATAAACATTAAGTTATTTTTTAAAAACTTTTTTAATTTAATTAAAAAGTAATTAAAAAGCAATGATTATAATACAGTTTTAGTGATTGTTAAGATAGTCCATGGGTTTGGATGTTGTGTTGAAATAGTTGTTTGTATTCTTTGCCTACAATACCTCTCATACATTAGGGTAATAATTGGCAAAAGAATTATGGTCATTTCGGTATATAATTCACTGTTCACCATGGTAGACTATTGCATCAAAATTAGTTTTAAATAAAATAAACTTGTAAAAGTATTTTATAATAATTGTTATAGATTCAATTGAATTATTTTAAATAATAATGTTAATGTATGAAATAAAAACTATACTAAAACATAATTATATTTTTAAACATTAATGATATATAAAATTGTGATATCCATTGGATATAAATGTGACATAGATATCACAATTGTCAGTAAAAGTTGGTGCACATAAAATAATTGTTTACAAAATATTCACTGCATTTCACCATCAAATTCAATATAATATTACTTTAATAAATATGCAATCACGGTTAAATAAACATTGTCTTCATTTTTCTGACAACAATACACTTAAATACAAAATTATAATGCAATTTGTATTTTTATGCTGTATGTTGTATCTGAAAATTTTAAAAATAAATCCGTTTTACACATGTTTTATTATCGTTAGTTATACAAAACTTGTACAATCTAGATAAAGAATATTGAATTAATCAACGTGGTGTGTAATTTTCCAGCTTGACATATTTAGTATGATTCAGTATAATAATGCACATGATGTAATTTACTTTTAATTTAATGACATATTCTACAACTACTTTACAACTTGCATTGTAATCTATCAATATTATCAATACAATTACATTGTGCATCTCTAATATAATCACAATTAAACTATAAACGAAGTATATAAAACATAATACTTTACTTTAAATGGCATTAAGCATAATACACAACACATTTATCATGTAAACTTTTCTCAATCATAATATTATATTGCATAACAATTATTAATTGAGATAAAACTATTGGACACTTACACTTCACTATAAAGTAAATAAAATTAAAAATAAATTTTATTAAAATTCAATTTTAATACGATTTATTAAATTAAATTACTTAATAAGACATTAAATTAACTACACTATAACAATGCCACTTAAGAGTATTAAGGAATGTAGTGTGTCCTTCGACATTATAAATACCATGTGGTTTACCATGAATTAGTTTTAATACCATAGGCTTAATACAGGTACAGACCATATTTATGATTAAAATATGCGCTTAACTATTATATACAAAATCAAGTGTAAAAAAATTACAAATTCCTATAACGTTTAATAAAATGACCAAGATAAAATGTGTTTATCAGGCACTGTATGTGCATACTTATAACATATTTTACATGCACATTTATAATGCCAATTTAAATAATCATTACTATTTATAATTTGTGATAAATAATTATTGCAATTAATTATTAAATAATAATGAGCATATAACTTTCACTAGATATTAATAAGAATGACTTTAATGATAAAATTATACTAATTGTAAACTATTAAAAATATTATCTTATTGTTTATTTATACATGAAATTTATAATTGCAAATAAAGTAACTTGTTTATGTATTTAATTCATAATTTATTTAAGACTTATAAAACTATATCACAATATATTTTTAATGCCAATCAGATTACAGCAATTTTGAGTAATAAAAAGCAAATTTATATTATATAAGAATTAAAGTATTAAATTATTAATAATTGTAGAATAGATTAAAATAAATGAAATGTTTTATAATAAAAAAAAGTTTTAAAAAATTGTCGGCAAATCTCACTTCAAATTAAGATTAAATTAAAACTAAAAATATAAAACATAATACCAAACAAACTAACAAAAGTTTACAATCATTTTGGAAATTCACGTTTGGATTAAAATTCACATTGTATTACGTGTAGAGTAATGTGAGATAATTCGGTAAATGAATGCAAAACACGAGTTGTTTTGTGGGAACCGTTATTTGGGTCGAAGAGTAGTGTTAACCAAACGGCGCGGAACCATAAGCGGGTTATATCGATAGCCGGGTGTTTGATGATGTCTTTGGTGCCTATTGATATGTGATGGCCAACTGGTCCGGTACTGACATCCGGGTATTGCATTCATGTACGTATTGATGGGCACAATGACTAATATAAATATAACACCGGGAAGACTGGCCGCACCCAACTGTGCCCACAATAACCAGATCGAGACCAACAATTTCAATGGACTGATCCATAGATTGTCATAGTATGGCACGAAAAACATGATATAATGCATGTCTGTGGACAGCATTTTCAACAGTTCCCCAGAGGTGTTGTCTTTGCGGCCACTGCTGGACAGCTTTATGGACTGTTATGGGAACGGTATATAAACGTGAGAAAATGCAAATATCAATAGATTTAATAATTAAAATCACACACTTTTTCATATAATATAGCCGTAATCGATGTCCGGATTCGCAGACCAATCACATTAGACCAGTAGTTGTGCTGTGCATTCAATACTGAAGCCAGCACTGGACAGACAAATAATAACAATGCATATGTATAGCCGATCCAATCGGGTTCGGCTAAGGTCTGGCCACTCGCAGTCAAAAACGTGATCAATTGGTCGAGTATTACAGGTTGTGATAGAGTTAGTAGAGTTGATACCAGTTTTGTCACCGAATTCAATGCTAGACTCGGGCCGTGTGTCCGCAAAATTGTGGGCAATATATTGACCGGTGGTTTGGCCTCGTTTTCACTTAATTGATGCCGGTGTTTATTGAATTGTTGGACACAATTCTTTGCTTCGTTGTCGACTTCCAGTGGCCACATGTCTTCATCCGTCAATGGTTTCCAATAGCCATTCATAATCATTGGTGTAAACCATGAAAATGTGAGTCGAGATATGAATGAAGCGCCAGTTTTGGGACATTTCTGACAATTAAAACAGATATTAATGAAAATTTAGTTTAAAATAAATTGTTAATACTGTAAACTGTATTTTGTTATAACTTTTTTGTTGTCAACTGTTGTGAAGACTTGTTGTTGTGTTGAATCCGCAAAATATGAGACCAATAATTGAATGATAATTAGTGACAGCGAAAGCGATTTTGTGGTAAATGTGAAGTGAATTGACTCGAGTGTTGGCCATTGTTTCGGCAAAGATATTGTAAAAGCGGTTCCGATCGACAAAAACAGCCAAAATCTGAACAAAACTTGTGAATTGAGACCACATTTCGGTGAAGTTGTGGACAAAATAATTATATAAATCTATAAATAAAATAAACATTTAATAATTATTTAATAAATAAATTTAACAATTTATTAATTATTCAATACTTACAAAACATAAGCACTTGACAATCGGGGTAAACAGTTTGGCAACATTTGCAACATTGTATTCATTACTTGTGTTCTCGAGTGTATCCAAAAGTTGATCCAAACTTAACGCTAATAATACAGTCGTTAACGTCTATTAAAATACACATTAATTAATAAACATTAAGTTATTTTTTAAAAACTTTTTTAATTTAATTAAAAAGTAATTAAAAAGTAATGATTATAATACAGTTTTAGTGATTGTTAAGATAGTCCGTGGGTTTGGATGTTGTGCTGAAATAGTTGTTTGTATCCTTTGCCTACAATACCTCTCATACATTAGGGCAACAATTGGAAAAATAATTATGGTCATTTCGGTATACAATTCACTGTTCATCATGATAGACTATTGCATTAAAATTAGTTTATAAGAAAATAAACTTAAAAGTATTTAATTATAATTATTATAGATTCAATTGAATTATTTTAAATAATAATGTTTAAAATAAAAATTTGTATGACATTTTGATATCCATTGGATATAAATGTGACATAGATCTCACAATTGTCAGTAAAAGTTAGTGCACATAAAATAATTGTTTACAAAATATTCACAGCATTTTACCATTAAATTCAATGTAATATTACTTTAATAAATAAGCAATCACGGTTAAATAAACATTGTCTTCATTTTTCTGACAATAATACACTTAAATACAAAATTATAATGCAATTTGTATTTTTATACTGTATGTTATATCTGACAAATTTTTAAAATAAATCCGTTTTACACATGTTTTATTATCGTTAGTTATACAAAACTTGTACAATCTTGATAAAGAATGATGAATTAATCAACGTGGTGTGTAATTTTCCAGCTTGACATATTTAGTGTGATTCAGTATAATAATGCACATGATGTAATTTACTTTTAATTTAATGACATACTCTACAACTTGCTTTGTAATCTATCAATATTATCAATACAATTACATTGTGTACCTCTAATAAAATCACAATTAAACTATAAACGAAGTATATAAAGGCATTATAAAGGCATTATTATTACTTTAAATGGCATTAAGCATAATACACAACACATTTATCATGTAAACTCTTCTCAATCATAATAATATATTGCATAACAATCATTAATTGAGATAAAACAATTGAACAATTGCACTTCACTAAAATGTTAAGTAAATTAAAAATAGATTTTATTAAAATTTAATTTTTAATACAATTTATTAAGTTAAATTACTTAATAAGATATTAAATAAACTACATTATAACAATGCCACTTAAGAGTATTAAGGAATGTAGTGTGTCCTTCAACATTGTGTGGTTTACCATGAAGTAGTTTTAATACCATAGGCTTAATACAGGTATAGAAAATATTTATAATTAAAATATGCGCTCAACTAATATATACAAAATATGGTGTAAAAAATTTACTAATTCCTATAACGTTTAATAATATAAAATAACCAAGGTAAAATGTGTTGATCAGGTACTGTATATGCATGTTTATAACATGTACATGCACATTTATAAGGCCAATTTAAATAATCATCACTATAATTTGTGGTAAATAATTATTGCAATTAATTATTAAATGATAATTAGCATATAACGTTCACTAGATATAAATACGAATGACTTTAATAATAAAATTATACTAATTGTAAACTAGTAAAAATATTGTCTTATTGTTTATTTATACATGAAATTTATAATTGCAAATAAAATCACTTGTTTAGGTATTTAATTCATAATTTATTTAAGACTTATAAAACAATATTACAATATATTTTTAATGCAAATCAGATTACAGCAATTTTGAGTAATAAAAGCAAATTTATATTATGTAAGAATTAAAGTATTAAATTAGTAATTATTGTAGAATAGATTAAAACAAATGAAATGCATTTTATAATAAAAAATTTTAAAAAATTGTCGGCAAATCTCACTTCAAATTAAGATTAAATTAAAACTAAAAATATAAAACATAATTACAAACAAACAATAGTAACATGTAAGTCTATGTGAAATCCAGTAAACCTGAAATTCAAGTTTGGATTAGAATTCCCATAGTATTACATGTAGAGTAATGTGAGATAATTCGGTAAATGGATGCAAAACAAGAGTTGTTTTGTGGGAACCGTTATTTGGGTCGAAGAGTAGTGTTAACCAAACGGTTTCTAATGAAGAACGGGTTATAACGATAACCGTGTCTTCGATGATAACTACGGTGCCTAATGATATCCGGTTGCCAACTGGTCCGGTACTGACATCCGGGTCGACCGCACACATAGGGCCTCACATTGTTGTGTGCGTTCGTGTGGGAGACCAGAGTATCACTGAATTTGGTAGTGAAGGTACAGTGCGGCCAATCACACGCGTATCGACCGCTCGCCACCGGTCGACAAATCATTGACTGCCGTTTCGGTTGTCCGCGTCGTCTAACACTTGGCACAGCATTTGTGGCCAAACTCTTGACCGCACGTCTGATACGGGTTTCACCTTTTCCACTGTCAACACCATTGTGTCGGTCGGTGTCTGTTGTTGTCCTCCTCTTCGCCGTCACTTCACTCTCGCTGTCGTTATTGTCGTCGCTATGAATGGGCGACGAGTCGAGAGTAATACTCATTGAGTGGTCACTACTCCAGACATCGCATTCCTCGTCAACACACGCCTCCCGATCGTCGGTCTCTGTAGTCATCACTTGTGGCCAATTGTCGTCGCCATCGTTCACATCATACAAGTCTTCATCGATTGTCATATTATTTACCGAAGAGTTTGCATTCAATTTACTACTTATTCCTAACGATTCATCGATGGTTTGAATGCATTGGTCTCTCGTTGACGCGCATCGTCTCCAACTGTGGATCAGTTGCTCGACATTTTGTCCACAGTTTGTGTCAATCAATGACTTTTTTGCCATTAAATTGTGTTTTTTTCGATTAACCGATTCTTCGAGATCTTTAGCGAATCCAATCAATGGCTTAAACTCCGGACACTTCTGGACATTGAGTTCAAGAGATTCGGTGAGTCTTTCGTTGGCTTTCGATAATTGAGTGATAATTACTTCACTTGTGGCCAAACAATCGGTTAATCCCTTGATTTTGGTCTTCATTTCCATCAATTCTTTCTGAGATGAGAGCCATATATCAGTCAACTGAACGTCAAATGTCTTCATCCGAAGTGAATCCATGAATGTCTGTCTCCTTCCTCAGCCTTCGTGTCCACAAGATATGAATGAATGGATCAATTGATGCAATGATAGGTAAAACACGTGGAAATATAAGAAATGATTTTTGATGTAATTTATTGCAAAACATAATTTATTAACAGTTATATAATTGTGTTTTGAGCGCAACATTTGAAACGCGGTCTAAAAACTGAATTAACAAATCATTCATTATTTTTATTAATTATTAAAACATGTTTTTACTCATGATTTTAATGTAATTTAATAGATATATGTGTGAAGAGACTGATTGATGATATAATTGTGTGAAACAATAGTTGATAATTTTTTTGGACTAATGTTTAAATTATTTTAATTATATCAAATGATTTAAATAATTTTATGGATTACAAATAGTGCTACAATTAATTTAAAAAATTTAGCGTTACGAGTTATAAATTTTGTAACTTAAAAACTTGTATTATTTAACTCTATAATGTGGATAACATAAGGTTAATTATGATTATATTTTAGGTACACAATTAATTATAATGATAAATTATTATAATTCAGGTGTTAACTTAGCAATTAATAGGATCATATTGAGTATTTACTAAAGCACAACAAAATTGCTATGCTAGAACATTACACACACATTGTGCATAGTATTAAATTTTGTTAAATGTTCCACTTTAAGTACCATAATTCAATATTTTATCAACAATTTTCATTTATATAAACCTAATAATAATAATGAAATATAATTTAAAACATGTTTACAATAATTTATTTATTTATAGAAGTGATATGTTGTTAGAAATAACTCACATATAAAATTACAAGTGATTTCAATGTTATATTTACTTGTATTAACTGAATATTACATTGTTTATTTAACATTGTTTATACAGAGTTATATCACCGCAAATGATCATAAGTAGAGTATCCGTGAGTAAAGATACCATCAGTATAATGAATAATTAGCCGTTATAAATGTCACTCTGTAAATGATTTGTAACAGTAATATTATATTACATGGTGAAATGCTGTAAATATTTTGGATTTATCTAAAACTGAGATTTATATTACTAAATACAACATAAATCTACTGTTTATTATTGTTTAAAATAATATTTTATAAAATAATATATTTATACTTATGTCAAGTAAAGTTATTTTAGTTTGCTAGCTAAAATAAGATTGGTGTAGTTTTTTAAAAGTTATAAATTTTGTTATTTTAAACATTATTCCCTTATTAATTAATATTTAAAGAGTTAATTTAATATTTCATAATAATACACTTTAAATATAAAATTGATTTTATCAAGAGTATTTGATATAACAGTACATAATCATGTACAATGAAGTGTATAGTGAATTAACTATGGTTATTTTACCAATGTTTGCGCTACTATATGACAAGTATAGTAAGCAAAGGATACCAACAACTAAGCAACATCTCATTCCATGGACTGTCATAACAATCACTAAAATAGTATGAAAATTATTGCTTTTAACTACTTTTTTACTTGAATTAAAAATAAATAATTTTTTGTTAAAATAATGTTTTTAATTATTAAATACTGTCATATGTTTTAATAGACGCTAACGACTGTATTATTAGCGTTAAGTTTTGATCAATTTTTGGATACACTCGAGAACACAAGTAATGAATATAACAGTAATGTTGCTAATGTTGCCAAACTGTTTACACCGGGTGTCAAGTGTTTAACTTTTGTAAGTATAGACTCTATAGAGTAATTAATAAATTGGTTAACTTTATTAATTAGATGATTATTAAATGTTTATTTTATTTACAGATTTATGTAATCATTTTGTCCACAACTTCACCGAAATGTGTCCTCAATTCACAAGTTTTGTTCAAATTTTGGTTATTTTTGTCGATCGGATCCGCTTTTACAATCTCTTTACCAAAACAATGGCCGACATTAGAGTCCTTAAGTCAGATCAATGTCTTTACATTTACCACAAAATCACTTTCATTGACAATAATTATCATTCAATTATTGGTCTCGTATTTTGCGGACTCAACACAACCACAAGTCTTCACAACAGTTGATAACAAACAAGTAATTATTTAATATAAGTTTTAATTAAATATATTGACTATTTTCCTGTATTTAAACTGAATTAAAATTATTATTTTTATAATTGTTAGAAATGTCCCAAAACTGGCGCCTCATTTGTGTCTCGGCTGACATTGTTATGGTTTACACCAATGATTATGAATGGCTATCGGAAACCATTGACCGACAAAGACATGTGGCCACTGGAAACCGACAACGAGGCTAATAATTGTGTTCAACACTTCAACAAACACTGGCGTCCAGTAACCGAAAACAATATCAAAGCACCCGTCAATATATTGCCAGCAATTCTGCGGACATACGGCCCGAGACTTATGTTTAATTCAATAATAAAACTTATGGCAACTCTATTAACACTCGCACAACCTGTAATACTCGACCGATTGATCACGTTTTTGACGGCCAGTGACCACACATATGGCGATCCCGATTGGATGGGCTACACATATGCAATGTTACTGTTTATCTGTCCAGTGCTGGCCTCAGTGCTTGACTCGCAGCATGACTACTGGTCTAACGTGATTGGGTTACGTATCCGGACATTAATTACATCCATACTATACAAAAAGGTGTGTTATTTTAATGATCTATTGCTGTCTATATTTTATTTACATACCCTTTGCCTCCGCCTACCAGTCCTTAAGGCTGTCGAGCAGTGGTCGCAAAGACATCACTGGAGGAGATCTGGTGACACTCGTGTCTATCAACATGAAGTTTATCACAAATTTTTAACATTGTTATGGTTTACACCAATGATTATGAATGGCTATCGGAAACCATTGACCGACAAAGACATGTGGCCACTGGAAACCGACAACGAGGCTAATAATTGTGTTCAACACTTCAACAAACACTGGCCCCCAGTGGCAGGAAATAAGGCCAAAACACCCATCAATATATTGCCAGCAATTGTGCGGACATACGGCCCGAGACTTATGTTTAATTCAATAATAAAACTTATGGCAACTATACTAACACTCGCACAACCGGTAATACTCGACCGATTGATCACGTTTTTGACGCCCAGTGACCACACATATGCCGATCCCGATTGGATGGGCTATACATATGCAATGTTAATGTTTATCTGTCCAGTGCTGGCCTCAGTGCTAGACTCGCAGCACGACTACTGGTCTAACGTGATTGGGTTACGTATCCGGACATCAATTACATCTATACTATACGAAAAGGTCTGTTATTTTAATGATCTATTGCTGTCTATAGTTTATTTACATACCCTTTGCCTCCGCCTACCAGTCCTTAAGGCTGTCGAGCAGTGGTCGCAAAGACATCACTGGAGGAGATCTGGTGACACTCGTGTCTATCAACATGAAGTTTATCACAAATTTTTTACCATTATGTGACAATCTATGGGTTAGTCCATTAAAATTGTTTGTATCAATCTGGTTATTGTGGACACAGTTGGGTGCGGCCAGTGTACCGGGTGTGATCTTAATGATACTGCTTGTGCCTATAAACACCTACACGAGTTTACTACAGGGCCGCTACTGGGCTGAACTCGGCAAACATACGGCCAGTCGGGTGTCCG